GCCCCGCCCACGCGTGCTCCGCCGCGGGATGTCAGGGGGGTGCTAATTTACCCGCAACGCTATGCCCTAAATATCCAGGATCGAGATTCAGGGCCGAGGCCTGGCTGGGCCTGGCGGGGGCCTGCTGCTGTGGAACGCGGGCACGCGGGCAGGAGGGTTGGAGGTGCCCGGGGCGACTTTCTAATCCGAAGGAACTCACCGGCAATAAGAAATAACGCGTCGTGTGTCTTGAGGGTGGCGAGCGAAAATGGGCCTGTGACGCAGAGTGTCATTCTGCCTGTCGGATTCTCTTACTTTGCCCAAACAAACTCACCCCCCGCGGCCCTGCGGCCCATCACCGCAGGCACGGCGCGCGGCGGGGAGACACATGGGGACGGGGAGGAGGCAGGGAGCAGTAATTACTTGTCCATACTCTGCTGCTGCCACGGCCAGGCGTCTGGGGCTCCGGGCCACTCCGGGCTTCGGCCATGTCGGCGGTGTCGGCCTTCCCGCGGGGCCACGTTAAATCTCCAGCTTTTTTCTGCCCCCAGCTTCCAGGCGTGCTCCAGGCGTGCTCCAGGCGTGCTCCAGGCGACAGTGCCACGCTGGTGTGACACTCTGCGGGGCGCTCGTGCGGCGGCAGGAGACTGATTCCGCGCGTCTCTCCGTCTCCCTCGCACTCATGGGGCGTCCCGCGGCCGTGCGAGAGAGACGGGGGCGCGCGGGGTAATACGGCCAGAAGTTAGTCCCGCTCGTTACTCAGTGGCCGGCCCGAGGCGGGGCGGGGCGGGGCGGGGCGGGGCGGGGCGGCACGGCGGAGACAGCCGAGACGGCCGAGACGTCCGCCTTCGGCCATCAGCGTGAGTGACAAAGTCATCAGGGGTGCGGACGAGGCCGAGGCCGTGTGTTCGGTCCCCCAGCACGCCTCCGCTCATCGGCAGTGGCATTTTTCCGGGAGGACACGCGGACATTCGAAAGCCACTAACAGTAAACATTCTATTCTATCACAAAAGTTCGTCTTGGCCAAGAAATTTTTCACTGTGCTTGAAAATTTGTTTCTTGCAAAGGGTTTCTTTGTTTAGCTTTTTGTGCATTTTGTTTTTGGTCTGAGAGTCCAGGATGAGTCGGCTGCCCCTCCGTCCGCGCCTCCGTCCCATTTCCGTTATTGTCTTGGTCTAATAACGCGGCCCAAGGAGTAAGGCTGGAAGACTGGAAGGGCCGGCTGGCCATCACTCATCTCCTTATGCCACTGGCCGAACAATCTCCCCCGCACGCCGCGCCACGCCGCGCCCGAACTTCTCACTCATCACTTTTCTGACCCTCGGCGGCACCCTCGGCCTTCTTCGGCTGTCCCTCGCAGCGCGCAGCACGCACTGCAGCACGGCCCGGCGAGCCCAGTCGCCCTCCGCCCTCAGCGCTCCGCGGACGGCGCAACTCCCGCGCTAACTCCGGGCTTAGCCGGCGCGCACGTAGACAGCCACGCCCTGCATCGACATGCAGGGCGTGCAGGGCATGGGCGAGGACCCCGAGTGGCAGAGGCCGGATACAGTGGCACTAGGTTAAGCCAATCAGCATCTTCCGTGTAGTAAAAAGGAAGAAGAAAGGAAGGATTCGATCCGGCGGTCGTCGCACAGTGGCTCAGAAGACCGGTGGAGGCGGTCAAACTCCCGGACGCGTTTTGAGCTCTAATTGGGACTCGAAGCGAACGTGTGACCCCACCAATGGATTGCTCTCCGAACGAGGAATCCATTGGTGGGGTCACACGTTCGGTTTGAGTCACAGCGACTGTGGGGCTCAAAACGCGTCCGGGCCTTTGACCACCTCCACCGGTCTTCTGGCCCACTGTGCGGCGTGGTGGGGAGGCAAGCGCGGAGTGCCTCCAAGGCTGGCAGGCTGGCACGCTGGCACGGCGCCTGCGACGCGGCGATACTGTCCCGTCGGACACGCGTGCGCGCGGCGTGCCTACCCTCCAGGCGCTCTCTCGCTCTCTCTCCAGTCTTCTCGGTATTATGGCTCGCGGCGCCACGCAAAAATTCCTCTGAAAAGGAATTGAATTTTTATTCCTCCCCGAGGCGCACTTTTCCGCGGAGGGTGTTTCCACTTGTTGAGGCCGAAGACCCCCGCCTTCCTTGAACCCGGACTCCGAGACGTCCGAGGCTCCCGGACGCGGCGCGGGTGCCTGGAGCGCCTTGAGCGCCTCCAGCGCCGTGAGCCATTCAGGACTCCAGCCTGGAGGCCTTCGGGGCGCCGAGCGCCTCTCAGCTTATTAGGGGCGGCACACCGAACCACTCGTCTTGAAATAAAAGCATTTTTTCAAAGATTTAAAAGAGAAAAAAAAATTGACTTTATTTTGAGGCTGGCAGCAGAGCTATGCGCTCTTCCTCCCATACGCCTCACTACGCCTGTCTCTGTTTCAAATTCTGAAAGAGGCAGGGAGCGAGCGCAGACTCACGCGAGCGCGCTCACCCACCCACACACGCACACACACACACAGTCACAAAAGCCGGCGTGCGCAGCGGGTGCGAATCGTAACGCGTGCGCCCAGGTGAAAACACACATGCATATAGCCGTCAGGCCGGGCAAGTTACGAAACGCACGGGCTCACACACGTACCCACCCACCCACACACACACACGCGCGCGCGGACAGACAGACAGTGGTCTGCGCATAGGCGTCGTTCCCTCCACCGCGTTGCATTCTGGGAAGCCCCCCACCACGACAAGGGAGGCCATTCACAGGCACCCCTCTCCTCTCACTCCCTCTCACTGCACCTCTTGGAGCCCCACACACAGACTCACCCGCAAGAATCCCCCCCCCCCGCACACACACACACACACACACAGTCCGCGTGATCACTCGCACAAGCGCACGGAATAAATGTGCAGCGCATGTGGGACACGCACACCTACGTACGCGTCCAGACGCAGCCACACGAGCACACACACACACATAGGGGAACCACGCGTGTATACACGCCCAAATTCTGCACGCATGAGGGGGTTGCATGATATTGAAATGTGGTTCTCCGGGGAGACCGGCACGGCCGAGGACGAGGGGGACCAGGCCGACGAGGCCCAGGCCCAGCCATCCCCCGTGCTGCGGCCCGCGCCGCGGCGCCGTGGCCGGGGCCGTGGCGTGCGTGGCCATGGCGTGGCACAACGCCCCTCGCGAGGGAGACGCGATGCATTGTGGCGCCCCTCTCACACACAGACGCACGCACTCACAGGCACACACAGGCGCGGCGGGCGTCGCGATCCGATATTGTTTGAGCACGCGGCATTGTCCGGCGGTACACTGTGGGGGAATGTGAAAACGCGGAAAAAAAATTGACGAAAAAAAATCTTGACTCGCCAGCCGCTTGGTCGGGTAATTAGTAAAAATGGTTGTCGGTCCTCCAGCCCAGCGGAAATTGGCTTAAGGCCCGTGGCCGGCCACACGAGGAAGCCTGCCGGCCTTCCGTCGCTCTGTCTCTGTCGCACTCGGGGCTCCCCGTGCGGGTGCGAGAGAGACAGAGCGACAAGCCTCTGAATCGCTCGGCGCGAGCCCCACGGAGCCCAGTGTCTCGGGGTCGTAAATAAGTCAGGCTCGCCTCCAACACTTTGTAATCAAGAGGCCTTACAGTGTTTCTTCTCGCCACTTTTTATTTTATTTTTTTAGCCCCTAGCAATTTTTTTTTCTTCATCCCGCTCGCGTTCATTGTTGACTTTACAATCTGTCAGAATGTAGTCGAGCGACTTTTATGCATTTCCAACGACTTTGCCGCCCCTGTTGGCGGCGGGCAGGTCCTCGACGGGGAAGGCCTGCGGTGGTGCAGCTCACCAACACCGCCGTGGTGGACTAGGGGACTACGCTGCACCGTCCGGCCAGGGCAGCCAGGGCAAAGGCAGACTCGAGGGCCGTTTCCGACAGGTACCTTCATCTTCGTCCGCACCTTTCGTCCATTTTCGTCGCTGCGTATCATTATTTTTCATCCCCCTCGTTTTCCCTCGACTATTATTATTGTTTTCGGCGTTTTATTTTCGCCTTATTCTATTTTCTTTGCCGTCCCTTTTTTTCGTCTTTCCCGCGCGATTTTGCACTTGATGAATGAAGGGCGCATGCAAATGAGGGGTACGTTTGAAAGAACCTCCACAGAAGTTTTGGCGCGGGCCGCCACGCCGCGGGGCCGCGAGAAGTGGCAGTGGGGTGGAGGGCGGAAAAGAGAAAGGGAGACCCCGGCCCCGCCGAGATGGGTCGCCCCGTCGCTCCGTCTCTCTCGCACCCCGACGGCGCGCCGCGTGAGTGCGACAGAGACGGAGCGACGGGGCGGCGCTTCGAACTCGGTCTGCTTCTGCTGCTGCTGGCCCGCTGCTGGCCCCGGTTGGCACATCGGAAAGTGCGTGTCTGCTTTGAGTCCCTCTGATGCATTAGTTCGCCTCGAGGATTTGATAATGACGCCGTGAATAAATCATGCCATACAATCCTCGCAATCTGGAAAAGGGGGGGGGGGGGAAGAGGGGGCACTCTGCCTTTGCCTGGACACGGACGTCGAAAGAGTGTTCCGGCCAGGTGCCTGCTAATCCACCCTGCTGCCTTTTTTTATTTTTTACTCAATTGGAAAATGTTGCTAAACATGAATGTTGTTGCCCCAGCGAGAGGCGCGATGCTCGCTCCTCGCGTCTAACGACCGCATCGGCTTCATGCGCGCCAAATTTTGTACATCACGTTGGTTTCGGAAGGGGAAAGGGGGAGGGGGAATGCTTGATGCGTGACTTGGAACGCAAATACAGAAAGGCTTGGATGCCCCTCCGTGATAGCAAACAATATCTAGACACCCACGTCCCGCAAATCCCTTTTCCCTCCGGGGGGCCTCGCCGCCCCGCCGCGCTGTGGTTTTCGGGCAGACCGCATGCAAGGCACACTGTCAAAAATTGTCAGAAAACACGATGGAAACTCTAGTCGGAAATTCAAGCACTGCTCGACAGGGGGCGCGAGGAAACAGCGGTGAGCTTGTCACCTTCCAAGACAGACTGAGAGGCAGCGAGAGTGAAAACGTCTAGTTTATTTCTCAGATCTCCTTGAGGGCCACGTCCTTGTCCTTGTCCTTGGCCTTGTCGCCGCCGCCGTTCCAGGGTTCCACTTGGCCGCGGTAGAAGAGCAGGAAGGGCACGGCGCCGACGACGTACATGGTGGCGCCACCCAGAACACGTACCGCCAGCCCACCTGCGGAGTCTGGAACCAAGGCAGGGCCTTAGGCAGGGCAGGGCGCTCTCACTTTCCGGAAACGATTTACGACCGCACTCTGACAGGCGGATATGCATCGAAGCGAAAAGCGAAATTTGAAACTCGACGTTTTGTTTTTGTTTGGTTGGCCCACCTGCTGGAAGTGGTGCAGGAAGGCGCCGGCGAGTGGCGTGGACAGCACGGGCGTGATGGAGCCCATCCCGTTCATCACCCCGGTCAGGACTCCTGCAAACGGACTCGGACTCAGCGGGGGTTTTCAAAATACCTTCACACCACGCACAGTGGGCCAGAAGACCGGCGCCGTCGGCCAAAACTCTAGACGCGTTTTCCAGTGTCGCTCAATGAGACTCGAACCGAGCGTGTGACCCCACCAATGGATTCCTCGTTCGGAGAGCAATCCATTGGTGGGGTCAGTCGCTCGTTTCGAGTCCTGTTTAGCGACTCTGGAGCTCAAAACGCGTCCGGGATTCGAACCGCCTCCACCGGTCTTGTGCCCACTGTGCGAGGCTGCGGTTGGCTGTTCGGTGCCGCACCGGCGAAGTTGGGCGCGATGTCCATGGGCGCCTGGAAGAAGCCCGAGGTGACGGCGCCGATCATGGTGACGGACAAGGTGAGCACCACGACGGACAGCAGCGCGTTGCAGCCCGAGTACGCCAGCACCAGCAGCCCCGCCACCGGCATCAAGTGCGCTGCGGCAGAACGACCATGGAACCACCGCGGTCAGCCGCACGTCTCTCTCGCACTCATGGGGCGTGGGTGCGGGGAGAGACGGAAGTCCGCCTGACGTGGAGGCTTACACACGACGACGGAGACCTTCCGGACGGTGACGAGGCGGACGCCGCGCTGCAGCAGGTGGTCGGCCAGCGAGCCGTACAGCATGGCGAACACGTACTGCGACAGGAAGGGCAGCGCCGACAGCCACGCGCTCTGGCGGCAGGGAAGGGAGCTGTCACGCAGTGACCCGACGCACAGTGGGCCAGAAGGCCGGTGGAGGCGGCCAAAGACGCGCTTTGAGCTCTAGAGTCGTTGAAAGTGACGAACCGAATCGAACGTGTGACCCCACCAATGGATTGCTCTCCTTACGAGGAATCCATTGATGGGGTCACTCGTTCGGTTTGGGTCACATTTAGCGACTCTGGAGCTCAAAACGCGTCCGGAGTTTTGACCACATCCACCGGTCTTCTGGCCCACTGTGCGACGTACCGCACACCGTCAGGCACATGACGGAGTGCCTCGTAAACGATGGCCTCGGAAGAGTTTGGCCCAGCCTCGGGCCCGGCGTAAACAACAAACAAAAATTAGGCAGTGCCGCTCGGCGTGCCGGTGGCGTTCCGAGGAGTCGTTTCGTCGCTGTCGCACTACTGCGGTGCGCCCCATGAGTGCGACAGAGACGGAGAGACGAAAGGACTCCTGGGAATCAGCCTGCCGGCAGGCATGCCTGCAGCTGTGACGCCGCGGCGCTAGTCCGCCGTGCGCGCAGGGCAGCGCGGCGGGCCAGGCTACCCCGCCGTCCGCAGGCGGCCCGGCTCGGCCCGGTTCGGCCCGGCCCCGCACTCACCTCCTTGAGGTCGAAGCCCAGCGCCGTCTTCATGTAGGTGGGGCCCATCGTGAAGAAGGTGTGGAAGCCCCAGTCGTTGCCCACGGCCGCCAGGTTGCCCAGCCAGAACTGGCCGGACTTGAGGGCGGCGAGCCACGGCACCGCGAGTGCCTGCAGAAGAGGGGCGTTCGTTTTATTATTAACCAGGAAAAATATAATAAATGTGGCGACTGTCGGTGCGCGCCACAGCGGCAGCGCGGCAGCCTATTAAAACGTGAAAAGGTAAGTCCCAGCTCAGGGCGTCACGCCGTCCCTTTCAAGCGACTGTGGCGCTAATAAGCGGCGGACAGGGGAAGCACGGGCCGCCCTGCCAGCGGCCGCCAAAGGCAGCCAGAGGCAGCCAAAGGCGAGAAGCAAGAGGATGAAGCCCTCCTTTTCCACGCGCGCCATTCACAGCCCGTCAGCCCGCCGCGCCATAATAGCACGTGTCTATCGCATTTCGGGCGGCGCGCGCAGGAAAGCCCCTTGTCGGCGACGCCACGGCGACGCCACGGCGACGCCACGGCGACGCCACGCATCCAGGGCTCCTTTGTGGCGGCCCGGCGGCCTGTACCTCCTCCTTGACGGGCTCCAGGTGCTGAGCGAGGTACTCGCGCTCCGAGTCGCTGATGCGGGGGTGCTGGTCGGGCGAGTCGAACACCAGGAACCACCAGGCCAGCGTCCAGACCAGGGCCAGCGCGCCAGACACGTAGAACACAGCCTCCCAGCCCCAGGCCGTCAGCACCCAGCCGCACAGCGGCAGAGCCACCACGGTGCCCAGCGACGCGCCTGCAACAGTCGGGCAGTCAGCACGCGCGAGCGTTTGGCGCGCTTTTCGGCCAGAGTCCGGGGCGCCAACCTTGGAACGCGAACGACACGAAGCGCGCGCGCTCGGCCACCGGCACCCACCGCACCACGATGGCGCTCATGGCCGGAAACACCACACCCTGCGGAAAACAAAAACCACTTGAAAAGGCTCCGTTCAATAAACAGCAACCGGTGTCTGGCGTGCCTACGGACGCCTACCTGCGCCAGGCCCTGCATGGCGCGCATCAGGAGCAGCAGGGTCCAGTGGCCCTTGGCGGCAAGCGGCAGCAGGAAGCTGATGATGCCGTTGGCCAGCAGGGCCGCGCCGTACACTCGCTTCGTGCCGTGGATCTCGGCCACGCGGCCGCCGGGCACCTGGCCGAAGCGAGAGAGAAAGAAGAAAATGAGACGCTAAGTTACCGGGGCAGCGAGTCGGACCCTGGAGCAGAACGCACCTGGAAGACGACGTATCCCCAGAAGAAGGCGCTGAGGATGACGCTCTGCTGCTGCAGGTCCCACGCGAACTGGCCCTGCGGAGGCTTTTTCTGTAAAGGCGCGCAATGAGACGTTAGGTTAGGTTAAGTTAGGTTAGGTGAGGTTAGGTTGGCGACCCTCCGCTGCCTACCTGGCTGGCCGCGGGGGCGTACTGCGGCACCACTGTCACGTTCTTCTGGCCGCCGCACACGGTGGACCGACTGGTCGGCAGCGAGTCGTCCCGGGCGGGCTCCTTGACCATCGCCACGATGGCCAGGTTGAGGTTGGCGCGCAGTAGGAACGTCACCATGAAGCCCAGGAAGAGCATGAAGCAGAGGACGTACCTCGCGGCCACGCGCTCTGCAGGAGAATGAGCGCGGGATGGTGGACATTGGAAAATCCACAGATGTTTGTAACCATTTGATTCTTGTGTTGAACCCGACTATGAAGTCAGTTTCTACATTTGACGGGGCAAAAGCAAGTTTCCGAGGCAGACGAGGCCTGCGGCGATGAGAGTTTACTCGGGGATTTGGGGCAGGAGTGCCACCACTATGAAACGGAAGTGTCTGCACGGCGAATTCCGCGAATGGGAGCGCAGAGTGCAACGGCCACTCGGTATGGCTGCACGTGGCCGAGAATGGACGAATGGAGTGAGGCACCACACTGCACCGCACCGGGGCAGCGATGCGCGGGTACCGACCGGCAGTAGCGTCACAATGGAAGAATGGAGAACGTACTCACCACAAGCCATCTCTGAATTTCCTTCCGACACTTCAGCACGGATAGATCAGTGGACCTGCACACAAACGACAAACACCGCTCAGAAAATAATTTGTGGACGTGCGAGGAAAGGCTTATCGGTGGCTGGGGCACTGGGCCCCGCCCCGCCCCGCCCCGCCCGGTAGCGCGGGTCAGTGTCAGTGGGCAAGTAAGCCGCGCGTGGCCCCGCGATGCGCTGACCACGCGCCTTACAGAGTAGCAATAAAACATCAAGTCGCTCGGTTGTTTAATTTTTTCCAATCGAAGGGGCATCCACTCTACAAATCTTTGACCCGACTACAGTGCAATAGATAAAAGTTTTCTGGATTTTAAGCAGGCTGATTTGACCCTTGTAATCTCGCATCCCCCTCGGTTTCGATTCTTCCCGCCCGCCGTTGACCAATCGTGGGTCGAAGTCCCGCGGGCCATGTACGTTCCGGAGAACGACGTCATCAAGACAACGGACGTGCTCAGCCTGCTGGGCTGTTATCAAGACTAGAGGACAAGCCAAGCCAGTGCACAAGTAGGCACGATTCAGTTATGGGGTAACCCTTTGACTGCAGTAGTGCCCTCGAACCACTCGGCTTACCTGCGCTGCGACACTCCTCGTCGGCTTGCACCTGGCGACGCCTCGGCGACGCCCCGTCCCCGCCCAACCCCGGACCCCAGCCGCGAAAGGGCTTCCGGGTGACACCTCTCACGAGTGGTGGCCGCGAGGGGCTGGCGCCGACGGCCTTGGCGTCGATGGCCTCGGGTGGACGCGCGTCAAGAGAGAACGCTCCCCGCGGACTGTCCCGTCGGAGGCCCGTCACTGGTCGTGTCCTAGTCGCAGGCCGGCCAGGCCCCACGCCGTGTTCCGAGTTCGCGCCACTGACGACTGCCTGGCTGCCTCCCACCGCCGTCCTGCCCCTGCTCCGCGTTGGCTCCGCGTTTGCTCTCGTTGGCCGCCAAGGGGGTATTCACTCAGGTATTAGTCGGTCGAAGGGTGTGTAATAGCCCTGTAATAGTTCCTGTAATAGGTAATGTCTGTGTAATTGCTGTAATATGGTGTATCCTGTAATGGCCCGTAATAGGTGTAATAGGAGTGTAATTGATGCGTAATAGGTGTATTAGTAAAAACATAAATGTTTTAATGTCAGAAAATGGCGTTGTTGTGACGGTAATTGTTATGAAATAGCTGTAATTGTTATGTATTAGCTGTAATTGTTGTGTAATTGCCGTAATTGGTATGTAATACTGTGTAATTTATGTAATGACTGTATTTGATGTAATAGTCAGTAATTGCTCTCATCGGACTCTAATAGGTCTGTAATCGTCGATTGTATTCGATGTAATCGTCTGTAATTGCTGTAATAGTGTTGTAATAGGTCTGTAATAGCTGTAATAGTGAGGTAATACCCGTAATTGACAGATTAGCTGTAATAGGATGTAATTCATGTAATACTTTTCAAAAGGTATTAGTATGTCGACCACTTTTAGGAGTGAATACCCCCTTGTTGGCCGCGCGCTCTCGGTCGCGGGGCCACTACACTACAATCGCGGCGTGAACCGCGCCGACGCCACCATGGTCGCGTTTCAGGTCACGGGGGTCCAGCGTCCACCACGCGGGCCGCGGCCGAAGGGAAGGGGAGGGGAGGTCCGAGTCCATAGGGATTCAGCCCCGACGATAAAGCCGGCGGCACGGCGTCGTGGGAGATGCGGCCTGACGGCCTGACGCGGCCGGGCCGCGGCCGCGCAACCCGCTACACTGGTTGACAGTCCGAATCTGAATCGCGTCGCGTCGCGCTGTCGCGCCGACGACCAGCGTGATTGAATTCACCGTTCGACCGGCTGGGCCCGGCCCGTAATTGGGCCGTGGGGCTCTGCTCGGCTCGCTCTGCGTCGCTGTGCGTTGCTGTGCGTCGTGGACGCGGCGACGGACGACGCCCCCGGGACGGCATGTCGTTGGACTGCCGTCCTGCCTTTCGGTCCTTTCGGTTTCAGCAGGCCTAACCTAACCTGCCCCGTCCACACTCCGCGTGCTCTGGGTCGAGGACGTCGAGGACGTGCTGGTCCCTGTGGGGTACATGGTCGAGGTCGGCGTCGGCGGCCCTCCCCCCCTCCCCTCGACGCCGTCCTCGCGTCTCAATTCCCGTAATTGCTCATGTCCGCGGCCAGGCGTCTGATTCCGAACAGTGCCTCCGTCGCTCTGTCTCTCTCGCACCCGACGGCCTACAGCATGCCCCACACGTGCGAGAGAGACAGAGCGACGGACGCGCTGTCCGGAATCAGACGGCAGCGGCGATCCGTCGACGGCGAGGTCCAGTTCCTTTCCGGGCGGGTGACCGGGCGACACGGGGCGAGGCGGGGCGGGGAAGACCGCGATGGGAAGCCACCGAAGTCGAGTCCACGCTTTGGAAGCACCCCTTTTTCCAAGTTCTGTTCAGTGCTCTCATCGCGGCGGTGCTGCGCGGTGCCGCTCCGCTCGGTCTGCGTTCGGAAAAGACCCCATTCCCGTTCCGTTTCTCACTCGGATGCGGCAGCAAGTTAGTGAGCTGGGCCCTGTGTGTGGTCAGCATTTGGTACACTCAAAAAATGACTTCTTCCAAAAAAAAAAAAAAAAAACTTGACAAATGAGCTCTTCAAAGAGGACACAGCAACAAGTCAGCTTAAGCACATTTTAATGCCAGATGATTCACCAAATAACAAAATCAAAACAACAGCCATCACCTTTTTTTTAACAAATTCATTTTGTAGGTTTTTTTTTTTACTAGATTATGCTGAGTTATTCTTCTTTGAATAAATTGATTTTGTAGTGTTTGAGTTCCTGAATGCTCTCCTTGATGTCACCCAGTGCTCTATGAGCTAGTTTCTTCTTCGGTGCACCTGCGTAAGTCTTGGGAGCCCATCGCCTAAACATGACAGAAAGCAGAAATTTATTCATAACTCTTTCAAGTATCAGAGTTCATGCATGATCCAACTAAGAAAACCTAATACCTGCACAGTTCCTTGACTGTGGATACATCCACAATTCTGTAATGCAAGTGGTCATTTACTCTGGGCATATACTTCATTAGGAATAATCTGTCCATGTAGACTGAGTTTCCTGCCAGAGGACAGGTACCTGGAACACATCTCATTTTACATTCTACTCTTGTCAATTTGCTCAAGACATGATTTGGACTTTAATTAACCTTTGGTGGTGTGTTTCTCTAGATAAGACAGCAGCTGATCTTCAGCTTGTGCAAGTGATATCTTGCTGTTCTTGCAGCTTTCAGTTAGCCCAGACTGAAAACAAACAAAATTATTAAAATTATCATGGAGACAAGAATCAAAATACTTAAGCAAAACACACATGCTGCTGATCAAGTGAAATCTTACCTGTCCATGGTGCTCAATGCACCAATCATTCATTTTTTCTAGGACAGTATCAGGTTGGTTTATAATGATATCAACACCTTCACCTATTATGTTAAGTTCACTATCTGTGACCAGGCAAGCAGCCTCCATGATGTGGTGTTCGTTGAAATCCAAACCAGTCATCTAAAGTAAAAATAAGAATAATAATTATATAAATTATTGTAGTAACAACAAGAATTATGTATCATCCAACCTACCTCTAAATCAACCCACACCAAGCGGTTCTTCATGTTAGACGGTGGTGCTTTAACTGGCGGTGCAGTTGAAAGTAAAACTTTCGATCCTTGATGTTTTAAAAAATGGACAAAAACAAATTAGTGTTAGGTTTAAGTCATAAAAAGATTTTCTATCACAAATGATAAGGTGACTGGGCAGAGCTTGGACCTACCAATCATAGTGTTGGGAAGGCGGCAAAAAGTTCTGACAATGTTGACACAAACTGCAGACATGTGAATGCTAAAAAGCCTGACAAGATACACGCGTGTACGCAACAATCTCTCACTTGTCTTCAATTTACAATAGAATAGAGCAGAGAGAACAGCTAGCCATGAGGCAACCTAACCTACCAACTAACAACGTGAACGCCCCTTACAACTTCTCATACAGGTTCGGACTGCAGCTAGCCTCATCTCTGGGAACGCCATTCCAATAGCAATGAGGCTGCAGAAGCTGAACCACGTCACAAATTTCAACAGTCGGATTTACGTAACTTAGGCATGCCATGAACGAATAAGAGGGCGAACAAAGTCAACGGTAGGCCGGATCGACTGTTGTCATATCCGTCAACACTGCCTGCAACCGGTCAGCTCACCCGGCAGCCTCCTGAAAATTGTGTGAACGTGGCTGTGAACAGCAGCTGCAGTCACAGAATATCGTGAAAAATGAGGGGTGAGTGACACACGCTAATCTCCGCTTTCCGGGAAATGGACAAATGGATTGCTGGTTCTGTAACTTAATTTTTTCACCAATAGCTGTGGTCCTGCAGCTGAAATTTCTGTGAAGTTGTTTTGAAAATACACTAGATTTGTTGATTTAAAGCATTTTCAGTGTCTATTCTCACGATTCTAAGCCAAAGCATCTTAATAAACATTCACTGTAGCCTTTCTTTCTGATTGATATAATGTTGTATTATTGCTACTAACCTTCAAATTATTACCCTGTCAAAACTTAAACCACTGTTTATTTTTTACTGTTTCAGCCTTATTTATATTAGTTGCTCTAACGCTAGCACACGTCAGCTCTGCACTTCCCGCTACTTCTTCATATTTAACTGCAAATGACCGCAGTAGACTGCGACAAGTCTTGGATGGAGCCTGGGTTCCGAACGATCTAGCTACTGTTCATTATGGCGCACTTGCGTACACATTATTAGGACAGGCTGTGAACAAACCTCAGGTATAATTGACTGGTTTAGATTTGTCGTTACTAACTCCTGCATTGATAAATTTCCTGTCATTAACATGGAGATATCATTTTCGTTTATTTAGGAGGTTTGCAAATTTTTGGGAACCAAAACCAGTGAAACAAATCCTGAAGTTCTCTTTCACTTAGCCGGTGCATGGCAAGCTATTGGATCATGCGGCACCCTGCAGTCAGCAGGCATTGTCAAGGTAAACTGGCAATCAAATTGGTTAAAATATTAAAACGTTCTTGAATGAAGACCAACAGTAAGGGCACTAATCATTTGTTTTTTATTCCCCAGAAATTGAATGAAGTTGCTTCAAGTGATGCCTCCCCCATGTCAGATGTGTATTACGCAGTCCTTGGGCTGAAGTCCCTGCGCCAACGCCCAACTGACGTTGCCAAGGTTCTCAAGAATGTTCAGAGCTCCCTCAAAAAGGATGACAGTGCTTTGAGGTAGGGGCAACCTTATCTTGCATATCTGTTCCCATTAGTATTTTAATTTCGACAACACATGCTATTCAACTTGCCTGATAAAGAAACACATAATCTCAGATTGTAAAACTGTTTTCCAGCTTGGGCTATGCTTTCCACGTTGCTGCTGCTCTCGGTGCTGAGGGCCGTGTCATTTTTGACCGCATTCAGGATGCTGTTGCTCAGGCTGATGAGGTTGATGGACGTTTCCTTCAATTTGAAGGTGGACTGAGCATCACAGGTGAGTACTGTGATGTTCTTGTTCAGTTTCCGTTGCTGTTTGGCCTTTATAATAATAATCTGGTATGTATTGTACGCAGCTTTGGTTGTGAGTGGCTCATTCAATCTGGCAACTTCCCAGAACAAGGCTCCTCCCCTAAACCATGAACAGACCACCAAATTTGCCAACTACTTTTTAAGCCGACGATCTGTTCAAACTGTGAAAGGAATCTACAGCCTGCTGGATGTCCTCAGTACTCTAAGCTCAAATAAGGTATACAATTACTTTTCAATTACTGGTATTATTATAAATTATCACTTCCATTTTGTTTCTCATTAATTTCTCCATACAATCCAATCATTTTCTCCCCCAGTTTGTTCTCCCTGTATCAATTAGCTTGGAAGGCTCAAGTGCAGTTTCATCATCCAACCCTAAGATACTACTTAAAGTTAGTGATGTGCTGGGCAAGCCGATCAGCACATCCACTGTTACAGTTACAGCAGAATCTGCCAAAGGGGGTGAAGATTCAGTCGTTATCCTCTCTAAGAAGAAATTTGAAGCTACATCAGACAAGTACGTGTCTTGCTGTTTATCAGAAATTATCAGTGTCATTATCAGTATTTCTAAGATGGCTGTTTAATTTTTCTTGACAGGACTGTGTTCAGTTTGAATGTCTTTGAAGAGAAACCTGCACCAGGACAATACAGTCTTACTGTAAGTGCTTCATTGAGTCAGGCTGATCCTCGCATTCCATCAAACATTGTTACCACTGTAACCATGAAGGCCATGTGTGCTGTTACCATTTCTTCCTTTGAAATTGGTACTGCTGATGCTGATCAGACAACTCAGCCTAAGATGCACAAGTAAGTGTGCATGGAACGAGCGTAAAATAAGATGTGGCAAAGTATGTGACTTCAAGTAACTCATTCTGCTTGTTACCTTTCGAATTTTACTAGGGTCACTTATCCATCCAAGCTTCCTTCTGTTCTTGAGGCTGACTCACAACAAAAGGTTGTCGTCCGCTTCCAGTTGGTGGCTGCTGGTTCTAACAAGCCACTTGCTGTTCATCAAGCATTCCTCCGTCTTTGGAATGACAAGACTAAGCAGGAAATTATTTTCAATGCTGAAAAGGATTCTTCTAAGACTTACAAGTTTGACATGGTATACTATCTCATGATTTTGCTGAGAACTAATTGATTTCGCTCACTGGTGTAATCTGAAATATATTTTTGGATGATTGCTTGACTACAGGATATAGGTGCCAAGGATCCTGATTTCGGTTACTTGTCTGGCGAGTTCCATGTTGACCTTATCATTGGGGATGCCATAATTGTCAACCCACTTATGTGGCATGTGGCCGATTTGAAACTTGCTGCACCCTCTTCAGATGCTAGAGAGGATTATACTTCGAGCCATGCTTCTCTCTTCAAACCAAAGCCTGAAATCAAGGTACACTTGAGTTTAAAGAAAACAAAAATATTGATGTTGTCTGTACTGAGAGAAGACTTAATTTCATTACTTATTCTTTCATGCAGCACATGTTCCGTGAACCTGAGGTTAGACCGGCAGCTGTTGTGTCCAATCTTTTTACTGCATTAGTATGTGCACCACTTTTAATTCTTCTAGGATTGGTTAGTATCATCAGTTTACTTTATATCTCATTCAGTGTTGCGTTTTATTTTTATTATTTTGAATTTGTTTCTTGTTTCAGTGGGCCAAATTGGGAATCAATATTTCAAATTTCCCAATGTCGCTGAGTGCTATTGGTTTCCACATAGGTCTCACAAGTAAGTATTTCTATCTTAAACACATTAATTTAAAAAAAAAACTAAACATTCAAATAAAATGAATTTTTTTTTCTTGTTGCAGGTATTTTTGGCTTATTTGTTGTGTTTTGGCTTGAACTCAATATGTTTGCCACAATGAAATATCTTGTGGGTTTGGGAGCACTGACTTTCCTTAGTGGAAATAAAATGTTAGCACACATTGCAACAAGGCCAAAAGCATAGATCAATAGCTGTATATTGTTTTAACTCTAGCCTTTTGTATCAAGTTGTGTCTCTGTGTGCTTCACATTCCTTTGCTCAGTAAGTAAGCACAGTGATCTTGTAAATTTGTACCCTCCCCATTGTTTTTGTAAGAAAGTGGATTTAAAGTGTGCACCAAAATTTAAACTTCAAATGGATCTTTCTCATTTTAATTTCATTACATACAAGAACTGAATGTTGTCCGGTTGATTTATGGTAATATTATTCATTAATACAGATGTAAATAAATAAACTTTACTTAATCTTGAGTGAATTCACTTGTTGACAGCTACCCCCTCACCATCAAAGGTAACGACACAATTTGGTAGAGCTTGCTGCAGTTTCTGTAAAACCTCTGACTTGTTCTTTACCTCAGGTAGTCCCTCCAATTTGAGAGTTTTCAAATTGCTGAAACATATACAGGGTTATTTTCACATTAAGGTCAGTTGAAGCATGCCTTAACCCTATATTTGCTTACCTTAAACTCCGCAGAGACAGTATACTTTCAGCTGTCAGATTCCAGCAGTATATGACTTCCAAAGTGTTAAGTGATTTCTTAAGAACTGAAAGTAGAGGCAAAGCTTCACTGTCCAGGTACTTGCATTTCTTAAAAGTAATCTTTTCAATATGATTGCATCCCTCTGTAACAAAATTGATGGAGTGGTAATTAGTAACTAATAGGTTGGCAAGTAACACGCTTGCTTACATTGTACAACAAGAAAGAAGATGTTTACCAAAATGTGGAAAGCCCATTGACATGACACTAGAATCTGTGGCATCTACAGCTTTGATAAAGTAACGACCCCTCTCTTTTTTATCCAGTGGAAGCTCATTGTAGTCTGTCACAAAATCATTGGCACCCATCCATTGCACTAAGGCCCCATTTCTCAGCAGCCATTCGGCACAGGCTCTGTCGGGACCAACCTCTTCCACTCTTTCCCTTGACACTCTAAAGGGAATGGGAAAAGAGGTTGAAAAATGTTGTAAAGTCGACATATCGTGTTGGAAACTGTGGCTTACTGGTTAAAAACAGAATTAATCCAATGGAGGAAGAATGGCCGTTGCTGAACTTGGCTTGATGCAACTGAAGCAGCTGATGTCACAACTTTGTGGGTCAGAATGTGGCTCTATAACAAACATGTGAGCAAATGACGAAAGGAAAACTCTCCAAAAGCTAAAGCTATCTTGAACGCGTTGTTAATAGTGATTGCCCCATTGTTAACCAATCACAGTTCTTGGAATATTACCTGCATTATCTGTTGACATAAAACTGTTCTTGCTGGGGTTAAACCAGCTAGACGCAGGCAGTTTTGAATTGAGTGCAGAACCATCACCATGGTAGAATTTGATAAACGCCAAATTGACCGAATCCTCTACCTGAAACAAACATACTTATTATTACATCAGAATTCAAAAATAGCTTTGTAGCTTGACAGTGAGTGAGAAAATCCAACAGATTAATGGCACTTCAGTAAAAATAGGAACAGGAGAAATTAAAACATATTTTTCCCCAATTCAAGTGAATACCGGCTAGTCTTGTCAATCGTGGAGTTAGATGACAAAGGCCTCCTAACCTTGACAGGGTGAAAGCGAGAGTGTCAACAAAAACAAGCAGACGATACACTGGTCGCGTGTCTTGCCAACCACCTCACAGTGAGAAAATTGTTGTAATCATCGAGTAGATTTAATTGCACATTTTCGTTATTGATTCCTTCCTTCTTATTTACTCAAATTTAAAGAAAAATTATTATGAAATCATTTTATTTCGAAAACAATTGTGAGAAAATGTGTCAAAGTGACATAAATGTTTGTATCTACTGCGAATAGTGTTCATGGCAGTTCTGGAGAGTTTTATTTTCAGGTGTGTGTATACAGTTTTTTAAGGCGACGGGTGACGTTTTGGTTCCAGAGAGAGATTGTCGTCATAGTTTCAAAAAAATATTTTCTTGTTCTGCATTGAAAGAGCAGTGGCAAGGTTCATTCAAACTTTGCCTGTCCACATATTTTCTAATGAGTGGGCTCTTTGGCAGGCTGAAAGTCGCTCTTTGCTGATCATCACGAACTTGTCTTTTTAAAACGCAATTCCATGTTACATCTGCTGTTCAACTGAATTCGTTGCGACACATCATGTCAGAATCCTACGGTACGTCTTTTCACAAAAAGAAAACTTCTTTTCTAGTGCTTTTAAAGGCGTTCATTTGAAAGGAGGTCCTTCGCCGTGGAAGGATGACTAGTTTAGTGTCCTAACCCATTGTCTTTTCCTGATTATCAGTCCCACTTTGTCCAGTGTCCCCATTAGTTGTTACCCATCAAAAAATATTCCTGACAGCTTTTATGTTGGAAATATTTTGGTACATGTACATGACTGTTTCATGAGATGACAGAAAGATTTACTTTCATTTGTCTTGTTTCAGATTACTTGTTCAAATTTTTGGTGATTGGCAGTGCAGGTGCTGGAAAGTCATGCATTCTACATCAGTTCATCGAAAGTAAATGTGCGTAGAACTCCATTGCCATATCTGTCTTGTTGATTTTTATTTTTTGAAGTTGTCCTTTTTATGTCAATTTTCTTGCTTTCTTTTGTCCTGGTGTATTCAGTTAAGGACAACAGCAGCCATACTATTGGAGTTGAGTTTGGCTCCAAAATTGTAAAGGTTGGTGGGAAATCTGTGAAGCTACAGATATGGGACACTGCTGGGCAGGAACGATTCAGGTGAGTTTCTTATGCATCACTGTTAAAGATAAGCTGGAAGTTGTTTGGAGTTTTGAAGACATGTCTTTCTTGACAGGTCTGTCACACGCAGCTACTATCGTGGGGCAGCTGGCGCATTGTTAGTTTATGACATCACCAGCCGTGACTCTTTTAATGCTTTGTCAAACTGGTTGAGAGATGCTCGCTCTCTCGCAGGTCCTAATATAGTCATTCTTCTTGTTGGAAACAAGAAGGATTTGGATGCTAAGCGAGAAGTCACCTTTCTGGAAGCCAGCAAATTTGCTCAGGAGAACGGTAAGGAGATGCCTATTCTGCAAATAGCAAATTTTGAGCTACACCCTTAATTACAAAGAATACTCAAAGTTCCTATTTTTCTTGCAGAGCTGATCTTCCTTGAGTCCAGTGCAAAGACAGGAGAAAATGTAGAAGAGTCATTTCTGAAATGCTCAAAAACAATTCTTTCTAAGATTGAAACAGGTACGTATTTACAATTTATTATTGACTATACATCTGAGTTTTTATATTACTTTTCCACTTTCCTTAGGGTCAGAGCTGTCATGTCTCTTTTTTGTGTTGCAGGTGAATTAGATCCAGAAAGAATTGGTTCTGGTATTCAGTATGGTGATTTGAAGCACCTGCAGACTAATAACACTGCTCGTCGTCAACCAGACTGTGTGTGCAGACCTCTGTAGCAATTTTCATTTACAGTTAAATTTTTAATTATGGCAAATAATAATATTAATGTTCAGAAATTATTTTTTGTTCCAATAATTTTGTTGTGCAAACATTGTCTTTGCAGTTTGCTTTATCACAGCTGTCTGCGTTCTTAAAAGTTTGTTTTGCAAAATTGTGAAGTACGGCAAAGAGAAATTTGTGAAGATATTGATTATTTTAATGAGAGAATTGCATTCTTCATTGAGATCTGGCTGGGCTGTGATATGATTTCTTCCATGTTTGTTGTACTGTTTGGTTATTTAAAAAAATTATTCTATCTGCTTTGTGTTGTTTACCTATGATATGTCAATGGTATGGCTACTACACTTTTGAGAAATTGAAGATATTTAAGGCACAGTCTTGTTACAAGTAGTGATAGATTCTACTTTTGTGATAATGTTATCAAATGTAAGTGTTTTCTCTCTTAATCTCGGTTTGTCACTTCTGTTAGTTAATTATGCCTTGATTTAGTGTGTTACTTTCTGATTCAAATGCACAAAATATGTTCAGCGGTAAACAGAGCTGATGCACCATCAAGCAAGTACATTTTCCTGTTAGAGTACTCTCTGTAATCTCAGTTGTTCTGGTGTTGCCTTTTTGTGTGTGACTTGAGTTGCTATTATTCTAATATTGAAGCCATTTTATGGGCTTTGCATGACTGAAAAAGGGCATTTAGAGTGTCTCCTGGTTACACTTCCTTTGGACAGTTTAAAACTAAGTACCATAATTAGAATTTGAAATGGAAAATTATCTTGGTTGGTTTTATATGTGCTTCAATTTTTTGGCCTTCACGGTGTCAAGCCCTTAAATAGTACCTTGGCTGTGCATGCTTTTTATCTTCTCAGACTCTGATCTCTCACAGACATTTTTCTCATATGTGAATCTCATTCCCCATGATAAATGAACCTCCTTCATCAGAGATGCACAGCCCATGATGACACTAGGAGATGCAGTATTAATTTTTTCCCCTATTATTGTGTGCCTCATGCATGAAACATCGTGCAAATTTGTTAAGTTTGTAATTTCTCAAGTGTTTTCCCTCTCAATTTACCAGTAATTCGCCTAAGAAAAATTGTAAGGTATTTTTTCTCATCTTGTGAATTTGTTCTTTCTTTTACCTGCTGATGACTGCATTTTGCATATAAGATATTTTTGAAAATGTATGTGTGTGTGTGTATGTATGTGTATGTAACACAGTGGTACCTAGTTCTACTTCATCAACTTTCGTTCTTGTTTTCAATTATGTCTGACTTATGGGTTAATACATCAACATTAGATGTGTAGTGTAGTTTGTGGTGGATGATTGAAGTTGTTTGTACAGACAAATATTTATCTTTCTATCAGTTTGTTTTGCCAGAGATTGTGCAAGGACCATTCAAACTTGAGATGTTGATGACCCAGATTGTTTGCATTGTTCATTGTTTAATTTATGCTCCGTTTTATATTCATTAAAATTGGGATTATTTTTTAAAAAAGCATAGCTTGTGAGTTTAATTTTTTTTACAACCCTCTTATTTTTAGACCAACCCAGACAGTTATTTTCACTACAGGTCTCATTGTGGCCCGGAAGCAGGCAAGAAAACAGACTGGTTGGAAGAGAGTGAGAAGTCACGGGTGCCTCGACAGGTGACAACGGGGAAGGCAATCGAACAGGGGAAGCACGGCTGAGGTTCGCGTGCCGTTGGAGGGGGATGGGTTGGAAAGGAAAAAGGGAGGGGGGCTGACATCTGACTGGAGTGAGGAACAGATAGATCTTCGCAAGGACGTGGTAAAGCCCGAGTTAGCCCCAGGTGAGACCAAAACCGCGATGGATTCGAGTCTGCGCGCCACGCCACACCGCACCCAATCACAGCGAGGGTGGCGCCACCCCTCCGCCCCTTCTCGCCCCCTTCTCGCCCCCTTCTCGCCCCCGCTCAGTCGCAGGTCACTGCGGAGCGGAGGCGGGGGAAGAGGGGAGGACGGATCGCGACGAGAGACGCGAGGAGGAGGCGGGCGGGGCGACGGGACAGCGAGGCGGGCGGAGGGAGGCGAGGCGAGGGCGAGGAGGCGCGGGCGCGACGGTCATTCTGAGGCAACGTTTCCTTCACGACGCACGGGCTCACGCCACTTGGGGTCTTCGTCGTCATTCACTTCGACCCGAATATAAACAGCAGCAAATGCAGACGCCACTCCTGTAGGCCACTGACATCTTCAGAGGGATCTGGTACAGCGAGTTGCCATGGAGGACAACGGGTATCGCAAGCGAAAGAAGATGAAGCAGAACGGAGTGGTTCGTCCTCTCCTGACAGGTATGGGCTCCATTACTTATTTAATCTTGAGCGCGTTTCTCGCAGTCGACGACACCATCTGTGGTGTCAGTCACGATGGAAACATTCTGGAGTGTTGGACCTTCCCCGTCCACGGTCCCCGACCATGTTCTGTTTGATGTTGCCTTATGCAATGCCCTCGTACTCTCCAAGTGGACAAACGGAGTCTCTTTGAGGCATACTACAATGACACCCCTCACGACGTCGCTCGTTTAGTGTATTGTTGCCTAACACATGCTGCTAGAGTCTCGAGACTCAGACATTGCATTGTCGTGTATGGTCAAGCGTTTTTTCTGGTTATGTTTACCTCTGTGTTGGACCCATAACCTCTCTGTTGTGGTTTACATGAAACCTTGATCACCATGTACTCTGTTTTGAATGGCAAGTGATAACTTTTCTTGTGCCAAACGTTCCATTTTCTTCAAGACACATTTCAGTCTGATTTGATTTGTCGGTCTCTTCTAGCTCAAATAAGTTATCTGATACACGAGAGCTTCAGTCATTGTGCATTAATTTTCAGCACAATGACTTGAGGATGCCCGTTTGTTTTGTGCAGTTCGATAAAATTAATAACATTTCCATATTTTTTGAAGTGTGTATGAAATAATACTGTGTTACTTTCTTTCCATGCAACCTAACTTTGTAGGAGTAGTGTCACTTTCGACAATGTCCCTTACAGTTCACTTTAGTATTTTTATGTTAAAATGAACATGGCAGTGTTAAGCTTGAGAACTTCAATTCAACAAAATTCGTATTTTTTATTCAGTTTGCATATTATATGACTCTTGTTTACAGCATTCCTCTTCCTTACTGGCCTTATCTTTCTCTACCTGTCCACCTGCCGGCATTGGCCTTTATTTTTGTCTATGACTTATAAGGAACACAGTTTATCTGCTCGGTACAGCAGATTGAGATGTTCTCAGATAAGAGGAGCAGTATTCTTTCTGACAATGACTGTCATCAAGGTGTCTTTTGGGCACTACTTCTCTTAAATATATTTCCTAACCATCTAGAGTTTCTCTTTGAACTTTGTAAAAAGACCAAAAAACATGCCATTTTCAGTTTTTTTTTTTAAATTATTTTCTTAATCAATTTAAAAGCATTAGAAAATAAATTTTCAATGATTATTTTGTCTTACTGAAGATAAAAACAGTGGAGACTTTTGGGGGAGGACTATCTTGATTAGCACCCACACAGGTCAGATGGAAAGGCGACGGAAGTTCTTTGCAGCAAGATAATGTCGTAGGAAAGGGGTGGAGGTGCCACTAAAATGCCACACGGACAAATACCTAATCGACTGATAACACTGACTTTCTCAAGATAACAAGAAAGAAGATCTCATCTACACCAAAACATTTCATGGACCCATCAGCAAACTATAGCCCTTAAAGCTTTTTTTTTTTCATTTTCTTTTTTTTCTATTTGAGAATGGTGTGTGAGAATGTAGCCAACTCGCTTCACTTTCTTCTCTTTCTTTATTTTTTTTTCTTTTGTGTTCCGGGTAATGTGCCCTTTGCCCTCTGAGCCGCGTTGAGCGTTGCGCGTTGTCTCTGCTGCTAGCGTGTTATCACTTGCGAGCCCTTCCCTGCCCTAGCTGACACGCTTGCCCTGTTTGCCCCGCTGCCTAGGGTCCAAGGCTGCCCAAGGCGGGGCCTCCTAGGGCCTGGCGCCTGGCTTTAGGTCAGGTGGCGTGTGGCGTGCTGGATCGCTACGCCGTTAAGATATTCATCACGGAAAGTCACCAAACAGAAAAAAAAGACCCCCCCCCCCCAGAACTGCACCGGCGGCGTGGTACTTTGCGTGAGGGAAGGGTTTGCCTTGCCGGTCTGGCTAGGTCTGGCCGAAGGGAAGGCATGCCGAAGGGCCGGAAGGCCGGAAGGGGTGCAGTGCGGGGAAGGGAAGTGTGGTGTCAGTCCGGGGAAGCGCCTCCGCGCTTGGCAACGCTTGGCAACGCTTGCCAACGCTTGCCAACGCTTCCCGGACTCGGCCCATGATCGACCTTGGCACTACTGGTCCCGGCTTGCCGGCGTGGAGTGGGGATGGGATGGGATTTACATTCAATCTGCACTGCCACACTGCCATGCCGCTCGGCCCAAGGCGCCCAAGGCTCTGGCGTGTCCTCCGTGCGTGCCTGGCCCCGCTCGGCGCCCTTCCCTGCCCTGCCCTGTCGTCTCCAACTTTGGCGCTGCGACTCTGGCAGCTCCTTTGGCGTGCCGCGTGCACGACGACGTGTCCTCTGTTGCCCTCTCCGTCGCCTCGCGGCTCGCGGCCCGGCACCCGTGTCTGCCGTGTCGTGCGGCGTGGCGGTTTTGTGGAGAACCTTGTCGACTCGACCTCCTGGTGAAAAACTCGTGGCGGCGCCAGCGGTGCCAGGCCGGGAGCGCGCGCCGCCGCCACCCTCCTTCCGTGGCGGGGCGCAGAGCAGCGCAGAGCGGCGCAGAGCGGCGTAGGGTGTGGGGCGTTGTTGGGCTTTTCCCACCGTTTCCATCGCCCAGGGCTGCGCAGGGCCGCAGGGCCGCAGGGCCGCAGGGTACGGAGGTGTGCTAGATTGCATTTCCTCATTTCGGCGGATCGGCTCCTCCTTGACCTTGCCTTCGCCCTCCATTTGCCCTCATCGTTGGCGTAGCCACGCCCGCCCGGGCGGTCCCTTTTGGACTTCCCTATTCACCGGTGGCCGGAAGTGCTACCGATTTGCCCGTCATTACAGGGCACAGGACGCAGAGGACGGCACTGGCTTCCGAGCTCATGCACCCGCAGGCCGCAGCACATGCAGTCTCGCATGCAGTGCCCGCATGATTTGGAGATGAATAAACAGAAGTCGTTTTTCTATTGCAGATTTGTACCAAATCACCATGGCCTACGCCTACTGGAAATCCGGGAAGAAGAAGGATCATGCTGTGTTTGATCTCTTCTTCCGCCAAAATCCTTTCCAGGGTGAATTTACCATTTTTGCTGGTCTGGAGGAAAGCTTGAAATTTCTTGAAAATTTCCAATACTCTGATAGTGGTGAGTCTCTTACTCAAATCATTGTAAATGTAAAGTTTAGAATTAACAATGTCAAAAATGTGTTCCGATCTTACTCTTTCAGACATAATATATCTTCGAGAGACATTGCCTTCAAGCATTGAACCAGAATTCTTCGACTACCTCAAGAACCTTACTGCAAATGAAGTCACAGTTTATGCCATTGAGGAAGGCTCGGTTGTTTTCCCCAGGTGATAACAACTTTTTGAGAACAGCTGACTCTTCCCTTCTTGTTAGGGTGTCTCCGCCATCTGATTTATATGAAATGTGTTTTGATATTTTAGGGTTCCTCTCCTCCGAGTTGAAGGGCCACTTATCATTTGTCAATTGCTGGAAACCACCCTTCTTACTCTGATAAACTTTGCCAGGTAAGGTTTGTCTCTAATGGAAACGTTTTGCCGTATGTAGGGTACTTCCACACTATTGAATCATTTGTTGACAGCTTAATGGCCACCAACGCAGCCAGGTACAGGATAGCGGCTGGCAAGCAGGTTTCCCTTCTGGAGTTCGGCCTGCGCAGAGCACAGGGGCCCGACGGTGGGCTGTCGGCATCGCGCTACGCATATGTCGGTACGTTTCCGAGTCCCAGCAGTGGCCGGGGGAACCGCGGGCACTCTCCGACTTGATGATTCGTGACTCGGCAGAGGTGTGGGTTTTGATGTGGTGTTGTATTGATTGCGGGGGCAGGCTGGGCTAAGGCTGGGGTGTGAGCAGGGAGCAGAACTAGTTGCAAGCCTTCCGTGGCAAGCGTGGCCTGCAGTCTGCACCCTGGTACTGCCTGGCACTGCCCCCCCCCCCCCCCCCCCCGCCCAAGGCACCCCAAGGCCTTCCCTCTCCCTCCCCCTTCTCTATTTTCTCCCTTCCCCTTACTTTTCCCCCCCACAGACCAAGATGGGGTGCCACCTATCTGATCAGCAGCCCACTGTTGTTAATTAAACCAACTTTGGTTATTTTTCACAAAGATAGAAAAAAACATTAGTATAATTTTATATTTTTAAAATTTTTTTTCAGGTGGTTTTGATGGCACAAGCAATGTACTGGCTGGAAAGCTATTCAATATTCCTGTTCGGGGGACTCATGCACATTCCTACATTACATCTTTCACTGGGACAAATGATCTTCATATCAAGGTGACTTGTGCTTTTAGTCGAGCATTTTCCATTCATCTTAAAAAGGAAATCCACTATGAACTTGAATTATTTTTCAGACACTGTGTCATCGTGTGACACGGGAAGAGCACGATATGTTATCTCTTTGTCAGCAATGGCGGATAGAACTTGCAAAACATCTAGAAACTCTCACGGAGGAAGCAAGTGATGGAGAGCTCGCTGCCTTGATAGCTTTTGCTATAGCTTTCCCCGATGGATTCATGGTGCTAGTGGACACGTACGATGTCAAGAGGTATTCTGTTTGGCATGAGTAGAGCACATTTAACATTTTCACCCCTAGTGCTACTAATGCCACATCATTTCATTATTGGCTTATTCCCTCTCATTTATAAAAAATTATTTTGATGATGCTGCAGTGGTTTGGCTCATGTCCTTTCTTCTTGCTGCTCTTTAAACTCTATTTGCACTCATTAGAGCCTTGATCTTGACTATGCATAATTTGCTCTTCTGTTTGGTGGCAAGGGTACATTCTTTCAACTTGTGTTTTCTCCTGTTTCCAAAAGAATATGTCCCTTTTGGGTATTTTTTTATTCTTATTCTCTTAGTTTGTTCTGAAGTTGCTTTTAAAAGCAGTTAATCTGAGTAGACTGTTGATTGACTGTTGAATATGAATTGATACTGCCCTTCAGCATGTCTTTGCTCCTGCTACTATCTTTGCTATTGAGTTGTAAGTACATTGTTGAAGTCGGATAAAACAGGGCAAGGGAGGTAAGTGTGGTAAAGTATGTGGCAAAATTGAATGGTGTTTAGTGTGGCCTATTTGCATTGTGTCTTTAGTTAGGTGTTAGTATGGGTTGATTAATTAATTCGTGTGAAATTTTGAGAGAGGCACTGTTTGAATTATTATTTGCACTGTGGTGTTTGCCTTTGCCTGGTGTAAGCTATTACCTGCAAATCATCTGTTGTTTTTTTTTCTTTGATACAAAAATGCTCTTTTCTCGGGGAAAACTTACTTGGCATCACCTCTAAAGATTTATTTACTTTGTATGAACTAATTTGACAACATTTCCACAGGTATAGGGATAGTTTATTAGTTTGTGTAATTTCTTCTTACAAAACCTCTTTTTCTTTCTTTTTTTTTTTTTTTTTATTTCAAACGTTTTTGTTCTTATTTATTATTGTAGACAGCTACTACCAGCTTTGACTCCAAAATTTTTCCGATTTCCAGTTTGTTTTAAATGTCCACATAGTCCACTCTAGTCTATAGTCTCTCAGTAGAAGATTGACATAGTAATGGAACGAGGTTCTAAGTTTCTTCAACAAGACTGTTAGTTAGCTCTCTTGTTCCTCTGTGTATCTAGTCCCTCTTCCATGTCTCTCCCTGTTTTGCATGTGGCATTTCCTTTTTCAGTGGTTCTGACGTTAAATCTAATGGTGGTTCGACTAAATTTCATGGGTCACGCAATTCTGAGCAGCACATGCATTGGCCGCTCCAGAGGTAATTGTTATGTTCTTCTTTTTCTTCATGTTTCCTTGTTATTTTTTTACTGCATTGTTTTATGAAATATCCCTTGCATCAATTTTGAAAGTTGCTGAAAAGGTGAAATTCCATTTAAGTTTTTATGAGAAGCAACTTACTTCCTTCTTTCTGTCTTTAGTTACAATCGTTTTATCTGGATCGTTTTAATGGATACTTTTAACAATGTCCCATGCTGACTTTTAGCTTTGTCCTTTGCGTTATCTCCAAGCTTGCTCCTAAAATAAGGCTTTTAAGGATAATATTGGAACAAATGTATCACAGTAAACTTCCCAATAAAAGACAAAAAACAAACAATCCAAAGAATAAGAACCAATCAGATCTCTTTTTTCCCCCCTCTTACTTATACATTATCATCAATCTTCAGAAACTTTCTTCTTATGTTTTGTTGTAAATTAGTGTAGATGTAGTCCATTCCATTTTATCCATTCAACCTAATTAGATTTTATTTGATATGGTTTTATACTGCCCATCTTCTTTTGGCTGGCCGCTCAGCTATCTTGCATCTCTTAAGCACTCATTCATTATTCATGACCCACGCTTCCAATCATGAAATTTTGCCTAGTCTAAACATTCTAATACTCATCTCATGAATTATTCTCATTTCCAAATATATTTTGGGTGTTTGAAGTTTTAAAGTTGCTTCAGCCTAGAACTATGTAGATCGGCTGCTTTAGGCAAATTGGGAAATAATTTGATCTGAGGTTTCTTTCTCCTTTCTCTTCATCCATGAACTTCTGGTGGGCAACTAAAATTCTTTCACAAACACATCATCATCATCTCCTGTGGGAAAATCATTTCTAAATGTGTTTTCTCCAATCTGAATATACTTTGGACTCATCCATTTTACCATTAAACTTGTTCAA